AACATAAAACTCAGGGACAGCAATTTTAAAGTAACAACAGTAATATATAGTAACAAAAATAGGAGAAACTCTATTTTTTGCTCCCTGGAAGCAGCAATGTGCAATTTGGCTACAAGGATTATATGAGGACTAGCTCTTTTGCCTAATTTTTAATTGGGCAAAAAAGAAAATATTAGTAAGACATGCTACAAACCACAGGTTAAGGAAGATTATTAGCATGTATGGGTTTTTTTTTTACATCCAAACCTTCCAGTGTCTGCTTTCTTAAAAAACTCAGCTGCTGAGGTAGTATTTGCTTGGCACCAGATCGTGGCCTTTGCAATAGTCTGTCTCCTCTTTGAATTTCACATTTAGGGTATATAATTAGGTTATTTGTATGGTCAGTTGTGAATTGATTTTATTTTTGTATAAGTTTAGCTAAAAACTTGAGACTTTAGCACACTCTCAAGGTAAATGTAAGAGTGATCTCCCTGAATTGAAGAATTTCCAGGTAAAAACAACCTTTTATTTCAGATATTTCATTTCTGTTTAAACAACATTTAAATTATTTTAAAAATTAGTTGAATTAATTTAAAAATTAGTTTTAATTAATTAATTTTAAAATAATTTTAAAATTTATTCCGAATTATAATATCACAATGAATTATTTAATTCACAGTGCTCATTTAAAAGGGGAAAAAAGCAAGTCATTCAAGGCCTGATTCTCAGCCTGCTGAAACCAATAACAAAATAGACAATCAAGCCATGTCTCAGCCCTAGCACTGCTCACTACGGGAAAGCGATGGGTGATAGAAACAAGGATCTGACTTTACATGAGTATAAATTGGATTTCAAAAGCAGATTCCACTGAGATATGAAAATAAGAGGGAGACAAATTATCTGCATACAACACGATGTGATATACCTTTAGATGGTGGAATTTTCTTTACTTTAGGAACTGCAACAGGTACTTTTTCTTCTGGGACAGCTCTCTTGGGCACCTCTGGCACTTTAAAGATATTATTTTGATAAGAAATTTTAGAACATCAGAACTACAGAAACCACAGAACAAAGGCACACAGACCAAGAAGAATAAGAAAGCTCCCCTCAGAAGATTAATTAAGATTTACACCAAGCTTAACAATGAATGGAGATGAAGATCTTAATGAATTGAACAAAGCTCTCATAATCTTCAAGAAGGAATGATGTACCTCTTGCTGGTATTTCTGGAATATTTTCCTCTTCCTCTTCTTCTTCAGGAGCAAAAACAGGTACCTCTTCACTGGGAGGTCTTGGTATTTCTGGCACTTTAATGTTTAATTGTAGAAAACTTGGTCATAACTTTAGAAAATGAGAGACAACTTACACAGAAGCTAAAGATCATGAATTAGCAAGTACATTTGTCACAAACTGCTATGATATTTCAATTACATTCTAATAACAAACATAAAGAAACAATAAGCAACATCATCCACACGTTCAATTATAAGAATCAATACCTTTGGCTGCTGAAGGTTCTGGTTTTTTACGTACAAGGACAGGTACTGTCTTTTCTGGAACTTTCTTGGGCACTTCAGGCACTTAAAAGACATTTTTGTTTAAGGAATTAATTTTCAATGTAACATAAGACATGTTAAAACAATAAGATAATCACACTAATATTGTAAAATCTAATTGTGTATGAAAGCATAATTTTATCCATAGATTTATGCACAGGTGTAAACTTACACATAGACTGCAGCATTACAAATTGGTGGTAGTAAGGCTAAGGGGGAAGCTGGCTGTTTAGGTACATTGTGTATCTTTTGAAGCATCTGTTTTTGAAACAGCAAGTCCTTTAAAATTATTTAGGAATATAAGATCCAAAAGACAAGAGACAATACAATACACAAACATAGATAGACATTTTCAAAGCATAGAATAAGTGTAGCACCCACAACTAACAGACACAGACACAAGACTGTCCTGATCAAACATAGGACAGTGAGTGGTTCAAACACATGGGGTCGATGAATGGTACTGTTACTGGCAGATTTCTAAAGCTGAAGAAACAAAACTAGAATTACACAGTTGAACCAGAAACTGGTGTATACCTTTGGCTGGTGGAGGCTCTTCCACTTTTTTAGGCACTGGGGCAAGTACCTTCTCTTCTGGCACAGGTTTCTTTGGTACTTCAGGCACTTGAAAAAATATTATTGGAGCTTAAGAATTTCATTTTTCAACCAAACCGTAAAGAACATTGATATAAATCAAGAAAGTGGAATGACAAATAACTGTCAAGACTAGAAAACTTTCTTCATTCCTCATTATATTAAAAGAGGAAAGATGAATAAAGACTGACTTTTTAAATATTTTTTTTAACATATTCAGTCAAGAGCTGATATACCTTTGGCTGGTGGAACTTCTTTCTTTTTTGGAACAGGAATAGGAACCTTCTCTTCCGGAACAGGTTTCTTTGGCACTTCTGGAACTTAGTAAGATATTATTGAAAATTGAGCTTGGCATGAGAATCTAAACCAACGTGACATACAACCAATCACACTAAACAATTAAACACAAACAAAAAGAACCACAACTCTTAAGAGTAACAATTCTTTAACTATCCCAGCTTTTAAAATAAGTGAAAGATAAATGAACTCTAGAGAATCTTTCTGATCACAGATAATTACAAGTGCATATACCTTTAGCTGGGGGAGCTTCCTTCTTCGGCACTTGGACTTTCTTTTCAGGTACAGGTTTCTTTGGCACCTCGGGCACTTCAAAAACAGCATTTTGGTTAAAAAAATAAACCACAAGCTACTCAAAACAGAAATGAAACAAAAAAGACAGCAACACTGACATTTCATATGAAGAACCCCCTCCAGAAAGAGCAGAAAAAGGTAATAATCCAATAAGAGAGCTGAAATATAACATGAATTACATATTCAGAGAATTCTGCTAACATGAAGAGAAGATATATACCTTTTGCTGGAGGAACTTCTTTTTTCTTCATAACAGGTATTTTTTCTTCTGGAACAGGCCTCTTGGGAACTTCAGGCACTTGAAAGATACCATTAATATTTTAGGTATTTACTTCCACAACAGCAGGAACATAAAGTGCAAACAAACATACAAATACATACTCAGAACATACAGCTATGATTTAACAGGGTTTCACTGTTAAGACAAAACAAAATAGCAAACATTATATTAGCTGCTATTATGTCCATTCTCGCAGCTCAGCCACTGAGCCATAAATAAATATGTTTTTAACTTCAAGGGCTTTTTTTTTGATCAGAAGATTAAGACAGAGTTTGCCTTTTAGAACGAGCTATTAAAGAAGATTATAAAGTGCCATGGTGGTAAATTTGCAAAAATACAATTTTTTTCCCTCAAATTTGTGGATTGAATCGCCGTATTAGATATTTAGTTTTTTTACTACTTTTCCATATTTTTCCCTAGAACTATGATCCCAATGCTACTCAGGCACTTTATAGATTGCATCTCATCATATTATAGTATATGCCTTAAATATAAATTGCTGATTACATTTTCTTTCTCAAAAACTTCCAAGAGCTTTCTACATGCAAAAAACCCAAGCACATCTAGTTTATCAACCAACTTACTTCAAGCACAGAATTATGGACACATTAAAAGCAACCAGCAGTTTATATCAAATTTGTTGTGTAAATGAAATATTTTAAAAATCTGAAATCAACAGACTTTCCTTTAACTGCAGTGTGGCAAAGGTTTCAGCTAAGATATATCTTAACTTCTTTTTATACTCCCAAACTCAGCAATATCCATACAAGTTTTACAATGACAGGAGTCCCTCTGGCTCTGAGCATACTGAAGGAAGTTTGGAGCCGTATGAATTAAACTTAACTACTATGATAGAGTCAAAGGAAATTTTAACCAACACTAACCTTCTGTTCAGGATTAACCTGGCTTTTGAGGTGTAAAGCCTCACCTTTTTTCAACTGTGAAAAATATTTTAATCAATATGTCAAAATTCTACTGCAAACACTGTTAAATACAGTTTTTGCATTCACTAATTAGTCAAAAGAAATTCTAAACTTCTTTTAGGGGAAAAGACACTATGGAATGATTTGGATCAGGACTGGAAAGGATAGATACTCTTAGATGATTATGTAATTTTGGAAAATCAGATATAGATAATTTATATTATCTTTATATTATGATGTATCAAGGTCTTGGAATGACCCAGTTCTCCTAGTGAATATCATGTTCATCCTGCACTAACAATGTAGAAAATTTATACCAATACCATAAAAATTAGTCCTAAGGGAAACACCTACAACTAAAAGTATTTAAATATGGATATTTAATAAAACTTTTGTATCTTTTTTTTTTCATGAAAATATATTATTCCCTTTAGGACAAAAATAGACATCAACCATAGGGATTTCAAAGACTTCTGAGTAGAGTTCCATGTGATTTATGTTCCTAAATCATGTATCCTACCTATTTTCTAGATAAATATATTTTTTGTCTGCGATTGCAGACATCACATAAGCATTTCTAAGTATTTCAAGAACAGTTTGATGGCAAAAATGGATTCTGAATGGGGATGAAATTAAGCTCAGTTAAATTTGCTTACTGGTTATATGCAGTTCATATGAAAGAGGAATGAACATGTATGACATGGAACATTTAAATTTATAGAGGTAGTAGTAAAGAGTAGACATACAGTCATCACAGGTTTCCTACACTATATACTAATCAATAAACATCCTGAAAAAGGCAGACTGTAAAGCAGAACATTTTAAAACAAGGCTTTGCTATTTTAATGGAATGAAAAGATACTATTTTTTCTCACACAAACCCTAAAGTATACCTCTAACTGGTAAGGGAGCCTCCTCTTCATACTGAGGGACCTCTGACTCTTCCTCCTCATATTCAGCAACTTCCTCTCCATAATAAGCAGTTTCTTCTTCATAATGTGCAACTTCTTCCTCTTCATACTGAGGAACTTCTTCCGCATAGTGACTAACTTCTTCATAATGATGAACTTCCTCCTTGTAATGGATTACTTCCTTCTCATATCTGGTGGTTTCTTCCTCCTCATATTTAGGAATTTCTTCTTCTTCATACTGAGGAACTTGGACATACGCTTTTTCTTTTCGGACAACTGTCTTGCGCACTTCAGGCACTTAAAAAGATACCAATTAAAAGAACCTTAAAATTTAGCACATAGATCTTACAAATCATAAGGATCACAAGACATTGCCAACTAGGAATTTACCAAAGGAAGAACATTCCAGAGAAAACAAACAGTATTCACTGTACATAGAACATACAAGACACAAAAAACATTTATACCATATTTCATAGTTCTATCCAGTATACCTTTGGCTGGTGGTCTTGCCATTTTTTTAGGAGGATAAATTGGTACTCTTTCTTCAAGGATAGCTCTCTCTGGTACATCAGGCACTTAAAAGAATCATTACAATTACATTTAAGAATTTTTAGACATATTGTTCAAAAGCAAAAATATTCTTGGCAAGAAACAAAAAAAGATATCTTACAAACACATGGTTGACATGTAAAAGACAAATGTGCTTATTGACACTGGACATGTAGTTAGGGGAGTCACTAGACTACTTTTCAACTAAGAAACAAACTTTTCAAGATGCCAATATAAGCAGCTGATATGATTCTTGCTTCATCCAATACTGCCAACAGTGAAGCTAAGCTTGCTGGTGGGCAGAACTCAAAATCCAAATCCATCCAATTACAAAATCACTAAATCTCACTGTCCGCTGTAGCAGTCCCTCTCCTCAGCACTGACACTTTGCACCTCAGGAATAAATTAATAGTCCTCATTCACTGGCAACAGAAGATTTCCCTAGGAAACCATAGATAAGGTTGAGGGAGCGAAAGAATTAATTGCTCAGTGAGGAAGGTATTTTTCTTCTTCTGTCAATTACTTTACGAAGCGGTTTGTTTGTTCAGGCATAGCAAGAAGCCATTCCCTATAAAAGCAGGAAAATTTCCAAAGATTAAGGTGTGGATAAGTTCAGTATTTAAGATTTATTTAGGAAAGACTGTATGCTATGTTTAAGCAGCATGTTCTCTTTTACAGAAGTGCATGGATGTTGTCTTCCGAGGCAGATGTCAATATAGCTGGAAACTGCACAGAAAATTACCCTGGCATTTTAACATCTGGGAGACTTGTCAAGTTATAGAATAACTTTGGCTTTTTCTTAACAGATTGGAGATTTTTTTCAGACCATCTTAGTAGATGGAATCCCTTCTGTCAGTGATAGATTTGAGAATTTCTAGATGTTTTTTTCGTAATAAACTCATAGATGAGCGGCTGCCACAAGTCTTGATGCTTGCTAAGTGGGTGTTATTTTTGAGGCAATGTGAAGACTGCCTAGCTCTTTAAGTATTTTCTGGTAGAGTCCTGCTAGATATTTAATTAAAAGTGCCAAGTACCTTTGCATTTGAAATCTTAAACTAAAACTGATTGGACCTGTTAACTTTGGTGGATTTGATAACAAAAACTGCATTGTGCATGAGTGCTCTTTTCAGAAAACTCAGGTTCCTTTGGATTCTTTTGTTGCAGCTAAAAGACCTCTGTTTGATATCTCATTGGAGAACGGTTGCCTTTTATGTCCTTCTGCTTTGACCTTTTTTCTCCAGACCAGCTGGCATATTAGACCTGCCTTACAGAGAACCAGTCAGAAATCCTCTTACTACTCATGATATGCCTGTCCCCCCTCATTAGAGACTAAATAGATTATTTAGCTTTACACTGATTCGATTGTATTAATCTTTCATTATATGAATATGATAATGCCATTTATCAACAGTAGCAGGTCTAAAAGTAGTAAGTGTGAGGCATCTTGTGGGCCATTTTTCACAAATCAATAAACTGTATCCAAAAGTGAAAGAGCAATGAATTTTCTTTAAAGGCTGTGCACTTTGTTCAAAGCCCTTCAGTAGGCAGATCCATTACATGATCATGCTCAGTGTCTCAGCCATGTAGGCAACAGTAGAGCTAAAGATTTTTCATTTGACCTTCAGATTTAGGTGAGGAATTGCTTTTAGAAAACAGAAAAGCATTGGCTTTGTTTTTGGAAAAGAAAGCATGTTAATTTAAATGAAAGAAAAGGCTGTCCTGTTTCCATTCAAAGGCTGGACAGGTGGCAAGATTTGTGAAGGAAGACCTAGTGAAATTTTTGGGCTTCTCCCATGACAACAGCAGTAAGCCAAGAGGAAAGAATTAAGCCTTTTATGAAAATGGAATACTGTCTTGTGCTATTCTACAATATTCACTTTCATGATAGACTGGCAATAAGCAAAGGACATGAAATTTTATTTTGTTCTCTCTCTCTCTCTGTTTGTTTTGTTGTTTTTTTTTTTAAATTAGGTGACAAGATGTAAATTTGGACACAGAATCTTTTTAGTCTTCATACCTGTGTATGAAATCTCCTTTTCTGTGTGGAGAGAAATGGATACTTCTTCTGAAATAGCCCAGTGTTCTTCTTCTGTTGGTACTTCAAAGACAGAGTCTAACATTAATATTTTTTCTCTGGTGCAGTATCATGTACAATAATAAATATCCTCCCATTTGGAGTTTCTTATGAAAATTGTTATTATTTCCTGACACCTCCCATACCCAGAGTAATTGGTGAAAATGTCTCTAGTGTTTCTCAAAGACTCTGCAAACATTCGCTTGGGACTATGGTGGATCATATTGATAGACTTGGTAGTGTTAGGTTAACGGTAGGACTCAATGATCTTAAGTGTCTTTTCCAATTTAAATGATTCTATGACTCTTAATTTGAACCTCAAGAAAGGTACTAGAACAGTAGGCTTGAAATTCTGGTCATATTGCATGAGGACAATATGTTCATAGATTAATCCATGGGCAGGAGTACCTTCTGGTGGTGGAGACACTTTTCTTTTTGGAACAGCAATGGATACTCTTTCTTCTCTGGCAACTTTCTTCTGCACTTCTTGCACTTTAAAGATAGTAATTGTAAGAATACTAAATTCTAAAAGAAATCACACACTTTCTGAAGTTCATAAAAAGAATAATGGACAAAAGTATAGAGAAGTAGTATACTAATACACAGAAAATATACTTATAATAAACACAACAGTCACATGAGACATACAACCATAAAGACATGTAAATTAATTGAGAAAATGACCAGCTGAAGTTTTAATGCACAGTAGCTAGATATGCATTAAGCATTTTGAAGACCACTAGTTTGGCAGGTTGCAGAAATAAATTTCTCAGAAAAATTTGAAACAACTTTGAAAATTTGAAACTTGGAAAATTTTTCCCTTTGAAACACTGCTGTAGTAACAGCAGAAATACAGCTAAATGTTAAAATAATATATACTAGTATAATACATATTAGAGTAATTATAGATCAAAACAAATCAAAACCAAACAGAATATTCACATATTGTGAAGGAAGATGGGAATTACTGGGATGAAAGTAAGATGTAAATATTTTGCCTCCAGACTTCAGAAACGCAATTAAACCACAGAACACCACACATACAGGGTACATAACAAAATTACTTTTCAAACACAAGAAAAGCACAGAAACAGAGGACATATTTGTAATTTTGAGACATGTCAGGGAATATTGACAATGTTGTAAAACATTGATAATTTTTTTCCAAACATGTTCAAATTTATTTAACTTCTTCACTGAGTAAATGTCTTCACTAAGTTTTGCAAGGGACTCAAGCACCCAGTGATCAATGAAGTTAAATAATCTCCGGAAAATGCAAAGAATGCAGGTGCATGACTATTCTCTGTCACCCTCTGCATTCTTTTCAAGGGAGAAGACAAAGACATTTATAACCAAATCAGGAGAGACAGATTTGATTAACCAGGAAGATTGCGAGTACGATGCACATGGACATCTAATATTTAGAAGTCCTCTCTACTTTCAAAAGGACTTGGATACCTTTAGCTGGTGGAGCTGCCACTTTCTGTGAAATTGGAACAGGTACTTTGTCTTCTGGCACAGGTTTCTTGGGTACTGCTGGGACTTTTTTAAAAAAAGGTTTTTTTAAAGATGCTGAATTAGTCACAGTGTATTAATATAATCAGATGACAAAATACAAATGTAGAGACTTGACATTTCTTCAAGTAAAAAAAAAAGACCACAAACACTGAACAATACAGTTTATGTTAGATAACCAGACACAAATATAAACCACCACTCTGAAATAAGACTTCTGTTGTGTAACTCTGAAAATTATATACCTTTTTTGGGTGGAGCCTCTTCTTTTCTAGCAACTGCAACTTTTTCTTCTGTGATGATTTTCCTGTGCACTTCAGTCACTTAAAAATAATGTGTAAGATTATTTTATTGCAATATTTGAAATACAGATATATGTAAGTTTTTTCTACTTATTCTGATTGTTTAAAAAGAAAGTGCTAAATGAACTTCAACAGCAACAAAAACGAGACACTGCAAGATAGAGTATTTTACAGCCACAGCACAAAAACAATTAAATTGTCAAAAGACAGTGGAGATCCAGACAAAGGTTACAGATACTAACAAGCAAAACTGTATTGAAGTAAAACTCCTAAACACAAATACTGCTAGGTCAATCTAAAAAATCTCCATGATCATAATATTCTGTTTACCTTTAGTTGCTGGAGTTTCTTCAACTTCTATCTCAAAAGTGGGCACCTGTTCTTCTGCAGGTTCTTAAAAAAGATTATGCAACTTTAGAAAATTTGATTGATTTCATCAACAGGCATAAGATAGAAGATGAAATAAAATAAATCTCATCAAGACAGTACAGGCGTCACGGTAGACAAACGAATATAAGTACATGTTTAATGTTGAAGAAATTTGATATGGGAGATACATTTTGTGTCAACATGCGAATATGTTAAAGATGGAATACAGCAAAAAAGCATTTTTTTGCAACAAGAGCAAACCACTGCTATACCTTTTGCTGGTGGAGCCACCATTTTTTTAGACACAGGGACAGGTACTTTCTCTTTAGGAACTGCTTTCTTACGAACTTCAGGAACTTTAGAAAAATGAGTAAGATGAGAAGGAAGATGAGAAAGAATATTAAGGTGTAACATTTGAAATTGCCTCCTACTTCACAATGTATTTTACCAAGTAAGTACAAACAATAATTTTCATGGTACAAGAAACAATTATTTTCAAATTACAAGATGGAATTGGAGACAAACATTCAGCACTGCAAGCAGACACTATTTGTGTCAACATGTACAAGCAAGACAGTAAGACAAACATAATCCCCTTGAAGATACATCACCCAGCTGAGGAACTCGTTTATACCTTTAACTCCTGGAGCTTCCTTAGGAGCAGCTGGAACTTTTGGTTCAGGGACAACTTTCCTGTACTTCTCAGGCACTTTAAAAGATTACAATATACAGTTTTACATAGAGGCACAGTATTACTACAACATGAACACATTTCTTTAATACAAAAAAGCCACAAATGGACATAAACATAGAGTGGCAACATAATGTTAAGAGTAATGAAACAACCAACATGTTGTAATGCAAAGAACATATACCTTTTGTGGGTGGGGCTTCCTCTCTTTTAGGAACTGTTACTGTCTCCTCTATGTAGTAAGACTCTTCCTCAGTCACTTTGAAAGAGCAAAATAAAAAATACTTAAGTTTAAGTGCTTGACATATATTACTGTCTTTATGCTTGCCCTGGTAAGTAACAAAGGATAAGCAATGTGCATTTCTAATAGACACCTCTGGTATTACAAAATCTACACTCAAGCCATCCTGCTCCCTCTGAGGCCAATGGAAACATTCCAAGCAACTCAAATGCAACAGAGAGACTGAGCTCTCATCTTGAATTTGCATGGAATGCGAAAATGCTCAGTCCATTCCTCTGTCCACATGTTCACTAACGTTGGAATTTGTTCATTTTGAGAAACCTTCTCTCCCAAATACCAAGAAAATTTCTTGATGAAAGCTGGTCCCTGGAAAAATCTTTCACTGGTGTCACTCTGAACAGAAATTGAGTCAATCTAGTTATTGTTCTTCACAGTATTATGTTACCACCAGTAAACTTACAGGTGGAAACAATAGTAATTTTATGTTGAAATTGCCTGAGTAACCAGAGTTCACCATGATATTCTAAAGGACCTTTACTTCATTCAAGCAACCTGGTGGAAGAAGAACTTCCAACAGAGAATTTTTGTAAACAAAAAGAAAGGCTGATAGATGTCAATATCCAAGAGATACCTCATTATTTTCCCTCTATCACAATAGGATTAACTCCTACATTTTTCAAAAGTAGTTAAAAGAAATTGTAGACATTCTTAATATTAAAATTTGTAGGTTATGAAATGTATTTATATAGTAGTAAATTCTTCCATAAGTAGATATTAATCCATATTACTTTTTGGTGCAAAACAAAAATTGCTTTTTCGCTTTTGCCTAGATTCCTGAATTGTTGTCATACCTTCAGAAACCTCTTCTCTGTGAATGGAAACAGATACTTCCTCCGTTTCTTCTTCAGACCATTCTTCTACTGTTGGTTCTTTAAGGAAAATTATTAGTTTTAGTTTTTTTGGTGGATGGATAGATGGAGAGAGGGAGGGATTGATGGATGGAGAAGATGAAGACCAATTCTTACAAACTCTATATGACAATGACAGATATGCATACCGTACAGAAAGTGCTCTGTACATACATATGTACAATTTTCTCTAAATTACATGTTTTGTCCATGTGTGTTGTTGTATCTCTCTAATACCATACACTGGTCAACAGTCAGTTCATCAGAATGCCTCAGCTCCCCAAACTTGCCCATCACAACAGCTGAGGTGGAGGAAATGAGTCAAAATATTTGATGTTGCTCTCTGATCCAAGTGTGTGAAAGTGAGAAGGAAAGGAATAAGATAAGAAGAATAAGTCAGGAACTGAAAGAAAAGCCTGGAATGTGCAGAACAAATACGACTGTGTCAGGAAAACATCAACTTGTTCTGGGCAGAAGGTTAATTTGCAGGAGACAAACAAAAATTAACACTGCACGTATCCATAGAAATATAATTTGTAAGTTCATGTTTTAGATAGAGAATTTCCAGATATTATTCTAAAAACTCATTTATGCTTTTTAATGGAAAATAGAAATTGTCTTCACTGGATAGTTATTAATGGGATAAAAACCAGACAAAATGCTGATTTGTTACCCTGAAGTAGATTTTATGTAGAATTATACTGACTTAAAACTACTTGTAATAGAAGGGTTAACTTTGTTCATAAAATCTTATGTGTATGAGGGAATAAGGAACTTTTTTTATAATTCAACAAGATAAGTTTCATGGACATCCTGTTAATTAAGCAAGTGTCATTAAAAATAATTGCAGACATCTTGCTAAACAAACACGTATCAGTATTGGTAAAATTTACAGCTGATAAGAACTGCAGCTTTCATCTTTGACAAATCCCAGATGACCACTTAGCAATGAACCACGAACTCAAGCCTCAACGCAGCCGCATTCAAAACTCGGGACTTGGAAATGTATAAAAAGGAACATTTACTACATTTTCGGTGTGTGTCTCGGGTGGGGCAACTGCCCCCCAGGCCACCCAGTGCTGTTTGCTTTATTATCGCTTGCTTAATAAATTTAGAAATGTTTAATTGGAATTGAGTTGTCTAAATTCTTATACTAACTTATAACAACTGATCTCAGTCTTCCTTGAGTATGAGAATATGAACTGAAAGCTGGTGAGAGGCTAACACTGCAGGGCTACAGAGAGCTTTGTATAGAATATGACAAATGGATGGTCACAGCCCTAATTAGAGGAGTCTAAACTAAACAATATATCCATATTTGCTACTACAATTTTATGAGAGCCTGATCTGAAGTTCACTATATTCAGTGGTAGAGTTTCCATTCCTGTCAACGTGGTGGGATCCTGGCATTCAAGACTGAAATGGTAAATGGCACTCAGGAGGCTCTTAACTGCCTGCAGCTCTGTAAAATGCTCAACACAAAACTCACACTGAGATAACTAACACAACATTTTTGTGTATTTTTATCTTGGTATTAGAACACCAGACTTGCAGTCAAAGCATAAGTTTCTCGCTCTTGTCTGTTTACAGTGTACCTTCAGGTAGTGGGATTTCCTCTGGAATGGCAACAGATATTCTTTCTTCTTTAATAATTACTCTTTCTTCAAAGGTGGCTTTCTTCTGCACTTCGGGCACTTTGAAAGATAGTAATATTAAATGTATCCTTTTCCAATTCCATTGTGAAAGCAATGTTGCAAAATGCTAAATCTAAGTTTCCAAAGAATTGCTTAAGGGTACTGAGTACAAAACATTTAACAGAGGTTCAATATTTAGAAAGAATATTTTTATGGGTATTGCACAACATATACAACACACTGTAATGATTCACTGTCACTAAATCAGAACAGCATAATTCACCAGGAAAGCACAAATCAACAACTGACAACAATAAACAGAAGCTGAGAAACAGCATATTCTTGTATTCTACTGGAAAGCATACCTTTAGCTGGAGGAGCCTCAATTTTTTTAGGAACAGCAGGAGATACTTTCTCTTTAGAGATAGGTTTCTTAGGAACTGCAGGCACTTAAAAAAAGTATTTGGTTTAGAACCTCAGAAGTAAAAACTGGCAAATGCATCATGTAAGAGAAATGTGTTATTCAAAAAGACTGCACACAGACATGTTTTGTTTACAAAACATGACAGCTGAACAATTTAAGACAAACAAAATGTTCTAAAGAGTACAATAAACAACACTACGGTGAACTGTATTGTACCTTTTGCAGGGGGGGCTTCTACTTTAGCAACATATGGTAATTTTTCTTCGGGAGCCAGTTTCTTAGGTACTTCTTGTACTTCAAAGATATTAATGATAATATTATTAGCTAAAATTAACTGGTGCTTTAAAACCGCAGCTACAGCACATTTGTGTCACAAAACTGACACAAAAGAAACATATATAAAGTGACTGAAGTATAAATAAAACCAAATTCACTTAACAATAAAAACTAAAATTGCACATAAACGAGATGTTTAAGATAATAAGAAAATAACGTTATTTATTTAGGTGTACCTTTAGGTGTTGGAGCCTCCTCTCTCTTTGGAACAGCAATTTTTTTCTCTGGGGGAGCTTTCTTGGGCACCTCTGGCACTTAAAAAGGATAAAATGCAAGATAACTGAATTCTGTATTTCAAAGATTTATTGGAGCATTATAGATTTCATTAATCCATTTATAAGAATCTGAAGATATACCACATAACACACTCATACACTTAACACAGAAAAATATAAGACAAGAGCAACATATGTTTGAAAAAAACCAAAACCAAACCAGTTGCTCCAAGATTGACAAATTATTTAAGACTGAATTCTTAACTGAAGAAAGAGATGCTCAGATATGTTACTTGGCCTTAAAAACTCTCATACATGCACAGAGAATAATACATTAAAAAAGAATTATACATAGAAGAGGATTATGCATAAAAACAAACATTATTACATACAGAGTAATGGGAAAGTAAAATTCAACAGGTATGTCTTTGGCATGCAGATGTTCTCTTTTGGGAACACGAACATGTACTTTATCTTCAGACACAGGTTTTTTAGCACTTCAGAAACTCTAAAGGTATTAAAGTTCTTTTAAGTAATATTTCTAAGGCTTTTGACAGTCTTAGATGGGAACAGACATCCAAGAAAACACACAAAGACTATGTTTATCATATGCTTATGTTGAGAAATGAATAAAAGTTAGGAAAACAGGACAATAGCATGTGACTGATTAAAGCTCACATTCAAAAGATACTGTACCTTTTGCTGGGGGAACCACCTCCTTTTTAGCAACAGCAACTTTCTTTTCTGGAACAGGTTTCTTAGGGACTTCAGGCACTTCAGAAAACATTGTCAAAGCAAGAGATCTTTAGCTCTCAGAACACTTATACAGATTTCAGTAATCCAAGACTATTTTACAGGATGGACACAGTGCCTGGACAAGGAGCTGAGCTCTGCAATCAACACAATACAACATACAGCCTTTTGGACATACACAGACTACACAAGAAAGACACTATGATACAGTATAAAACCGCAGTGTTAAAGTCACTGCACTATCCCATTTCATGGGACTCCATTGAAATAAAAACACCCTACCCTTTTCTCCAAAAGCCACACAACCTAAATACAAACAATAAGCACAAGACTGTTAGGAAAGAGAAGGGCTCAAGCTGAGACAAATTCAAGCTGTAAGTGGTTATAGCACAACTGAAAAAGCAAAAGTGTGCAATGGAGACAATGCAAAATCAAATAATGCATATGGAGGTAATACAAAACCAAAGACACAAAGAGAGTAAACTCATAAAGATATTCAAGAAAACAAGGAAAACAATACAATGAAAGACAATTTCTGAGGGTTTTGCTTTTTTCTTTTTTTTACTAGGGCAGTAGAAATACCTTTACCTGATGGAGCTTCTGGTTTAGGGACAGGAATAGGCTTTCTTTCTTCTGGAACACGCCTCTTTGGCACCTCAGGCACTTTAAAGAGATAGGTGGTGATCATTTAGGAGACTGTATTTTTCAAATACTTGGTAAATCACAGTAGGCTGCTTTTAACATGGTGTATAAGCAAATAATCTGTATAAAAAACTGTGCTGTTTTATCAGATATAATATACTCAAAAAAGCTATTAAAAGAATCATTTAAAGCAGTGTTGAAGAATAATAAGATTCAGAAATGCAGTGGGTCTTGAACCTCGGAGTGTAGAGCCATAGAAAAATGAAAAGATCTCAGTTATTTTATGTTGTCCTCTGGTAAACAGTATTACTGACAGATGAAGTGAAAGTTCAGAAAAACAGGGTGCACAGTGATGCAAAGACTTTATTCACCTTCAACATGAGGGATCTCCAGTTCTGTAGAAATGACTTCCTCCTCCTCCTCAACTTCTCTTTCTGCTACAATAAGAATTTTAAAGATATTAAATTTTGATATAAGAAATATCAAAGTTCACAATAAATCTGAAAAACTTGAAGATGTTATGTGTGTCCAGTACACAATGGTCACTGAAACACGTGTGCTAATTCATAAAAAAAATTAATCTGGAAAACCAACAGCAAATATCACAATGAATTTTAGATTCAAATTAAAA